ATCATACATATATAACACAATTTAAAGATAGTTTCAGAGGAAGCTTGCCAGGCTCTGTCATAAAGTTTACGATGCTAAAATCTCAGGGCTGGGTCAAATGGAGATGCGACTGGCGCCCGCTCGAGCAAATCGATGATTAACGGGATGACAGTGCTACAGTGCTAAAGACAGTTTCAAATTAGTCCATGAAGTTTATTTAATCCAATCACAGTTTGTAAGTTGAATTCCTTGATGACACACCTGCTGAGGCAGAACACATTAGCACTTGCTGTACAAAGTGCAGATATGAAGATATGTCCACCAGAACAATTGGTTCATAAGTAGATTGGACTGGGAATTTCCATACAATGAGCAACCAAAGACTGATACTTTAAATTTTGTCAAAGTATGGACTTCTGGTGGACCATGAAGTTAATTTGACATGACAAAATTAAATAGAATCAGACATTGCCATGTGGATCAAGATACGTATTATAAAGAATCTTAAAAATTTACTCCTGCCCCTTTAACTTCCTTTCCTCCCAATAGACAACCAATACTTTGTTTACTATGTAATTTTCAAGTTTAATATAGTTATAAACAACATCAAATATATTAAGTTTCCTTTTCCACAAAAGATAGCATATTCTAACACTGTGCATACTTTACCTTTCTGCACTGAATTCAGCAGTATCATAGTTACCCAATCCTAATTATTTTTAGACTTTGTATTATTTATGTCTTTTACTCATAGAAATATTTCATTACTAGAAATATTTTACAGATGTTACTTGCAAATAATGAGATAAATTTGTAGAGTACACATTCTGAAGCAAAATTGCTGGATCAAAGAGCATATGAATTTGTAAGTTTTAGGTCTCCAAATTTATTTCTGTAGAAAATCATACCAATATATTCTCATCAGCACCTTACAAGGGCAACAATTTCTGCCATGACCTCAACAAGAAAGTTACTAGAATTTTACAATCTGAGTAATGTAAGTCCTATTTCAGTGAGATTTCAATCTGTTCATCTTTTATTTTATAGTGAATATCTTTTCAGGTGCCATGGAACCATTAATAATTTCTTTTCTGAGAGAGGGACAGACATAGAAATATTGCATTCATCTGTGGAATATAAAGTAAACAGAACAGAATACTAACACCCAATAACAGTTTACACAAGTACCAGGAGATTTGCTCCATGGCTTGGAGACCAGCAGCACATGTTGGGGGAAAAGGCATCTCAGATAGAGAAGGGAACACCAAGTAAAGGGTGTTGGGAGGATCTGCTCAGGATGGGAGATGCATGCTGAAAGTAACTATAGACCGAACATGATTGCCACTCAATACCTCTATTGCAAACCACAACAAGAGAGAGGCAGGGTGGGATGGGAGGGGGATGGGGTGGTGGTGGGAGGGATACTGGGATCATTGGTGGTGGAGAATGAGCACTGGTGGAGGGATAGGTACTCGATCATTGTATAACTGAAACCCAAGCACAAAAATTTATAAGTCTACAACTGTACCTTATGGTGTTTCACTAATAAAAATTTTTTTTCTGTGAATGGCATATCTTCTTATCATTTTTGTTCTGTTGAGTTGGTCTGACTGATTTCTTGGGAGTCTCATTAGAGTTCAGCCCTTGAATTACAGAAGAAATTAAATATTCTTCTTGAAATTTGCTATTTATATTTTGACTTTTCTGTGGCATACTGGTTCATATCTATGCGAATTTTATTATGTTTAGAATTACTTGTCTATAATAAATATTTGTGCTCTATTCTTTAACAAGTCTTGCCTTTTCCCAAAGTTGAATTGTTAATTGATGAAAGGTACTCTTCCCTCCATATTCAATAATGAGTTATTTTGGAATGTGGGGGGATGGGCTACACTGCTGATGTTCAGGGGCAATTTCTAGATCTGTATTCAGGAGTGACCCTGGGATGCTCAGGGGACCACTAGGAAGTATCAGAAATTTAGAGTTGACAGGCCCTTTAATAACAAATTCTTAGTTTAGATTTTTCTTGTCTTGTTATTAACTTTTTAAAAATCATACCAATTTATTATATTCTATTACTGCATTTTCTTTATAATAACAAGGTGACCTGGACATCCTTCTGTGTGAAAATTAAAAATCCACTTCAATTGTATTAATGGCTATGTGCTGTGCCACCTTACTCTTGTCTAATGATTCATTATCTACTATTAATCAGCTTTCAAGTGAGTTGCCATTTTCAGCACTCCAAACAACTTAGTGGAACATATCTTAACCGTATCCTAGTAAGCTGAGAGACTGACATGTATGAGAACATAAACACAACCCAAAAGCCCACTTAACACTTGTTTCTTCCCTGGTAGAGCCCCCTAGTGGCTCAAGCACAATAAAGGTGAGACTTGAAGACTTCTGACTGAATCAAGGGCCAAAGGACTCAATCCCTCAACTGATTTAGAGGGTATGTGAGCAATAGCACAGCGATAGGGTGTTTGCCTTGCGCGAGGCCCACCTGGCTGAGCCGGGAGAGCCCGGCAAGCTACGGAGAGTGTTGAGAGAGACTGTCTATCTCCCCCGCACGGCAAAACCTGGGAAGTCCCCCCCTCATGTATTTGATATGCCAAACACAGTAACAACAATGGAGCCGCCAAACACAGTAACAACAATGGAGACCGTTACTGGGCCTGCTCGAGCAAATCGATGAACAATGGGAGGACAGTGACAGTGACACTGACTTTCATAGAAGGATGGTACTCATAGAAGAGATAATAGTAACTCACCAAGGCCAATAAATCCAAAGCAGATCCCAAACCCAGGACTCTTGTGTGCCCTGTATGCAGATTTACCAGTGCCTAGTTGTTACTCAGCTTGCTCCCTGACATGTTCGGCCATTACAATATCTCAAAAAGCTGGTTAAATAATGAGTTCACCACAGGAATTGGGAGGGGTGGGAGGTGGGGTTCTATTGGGGTTCATGGTAAAAAATAAGTATTGGTAAAGGGAAACGTGTTTGATATTTACATGACTGAGACCTAAACCTGAAAGCTCTGTAACTTTTCCCACAGTGATTCAATAAATAAATAAATTATAAAAATAATAATGAGTTCACATAGAGAACTCAATGCCTCCAAATTATCAGACAAGGGAAAGAGTTCTATTCTGCGATAGAGCCAACTATTTCTTCTCTGTCTTTCATAACCTTGGTGGGAAAAATTGACTCTCCTCTGGGAGTCTTTCCATAAAATAGCATCAACTGTGTAAGGGTTAGAGTGGACCTGGCTATTAAGGAGATAAAAATCTTTAAAACACTGCCCAGAAAGGTTGTCTGTGCTGCTCCAATGTTTCTCGGTTAGGGGTCCTGAGGGGCAGTCAGAAGGAGGAAGCTTTGGGAACTCTTCTGGAACTGTAATTGTACTGGCAAGCACATTGCTTTAACCAAATTCTTTGTTATTTGAAAGGTTTGTCCTGACTAACAAAGCTGTTAACTTCCTGAATACATATAAATGTTTATAATTTTTATAATTGAGGTAATGTATTTACAATAACATTGACACTTATGGTCTGGGTGTACACAGTTAGCTCATTTTACCAAGATGGAAGTGTCCAAGATTTCCCACTCACGCCCCTGTATCATATCCAGTCTACCTACTCCACCCCCACTACATACAGCCTCCCCCCACCCCAAATCTGGAGTTCTCAGTTTGTATTCCAGTACCAAAAATTTGTTGTCAACTGGTATTATCTATTTCCTTGTTTTGTTTCCTCATGCCCGCCCCCCTCTCCGCCCCCCCCCCCCCCCCCAAGAGTGGCATCAACTGGCGCTTGCCTTTCTCTCTGGGAATTTCACTCAAAAGATACCCTCCAGTTCCACATACATTGTAGCAATCTACTGAATCAACATTTCCTTACTCGGATTAAGGTGTTTCCTTGCCTGCTGCCCACCCTGACTGGGCCCTGACAACCGCACGTGGTCCTCTGAGAACCTCCCACGCAGCCCAAAACCTTTGTCACCGATAAACAGCATGTGCTAGTCTTACGGGAGTCAAGCCAAAAACAAAAACAAAAAACCAAAAAAACGGAAAGGTGCATTTTGCGTGACTCATCTGAAGAAAAGTGGCTCTTTCCTGAGAGCCTTTCTGAGAACTCTTAATAGATGGGGTTGTTTCTGGTCCACTTCTCTTCACCCGCAGCTTAGATCTCAGGGAAATAACGTCACGCTCCTCAAAGTTTCACTCGGGGGCTTTTCTGGAGGCGAAACTCTGCACCTCTCGCTGTTGAACGAATGGCTCGCTGAGATGGCAACCGCGTCGCTATTTATAAAAAAAAAAAAAAAAAAAGAATACGCCTCGAAAGGACGGTCTCTGGATCACGCCACAGACATCGCCGCGCTCCCGGCGCCGTCCTACAAGTCCCAGAGAGCGACGCGCCACTTCCTCCCCGGTGCCCAGGGCGGGAATCAAGCCCCTCGCTGCATGCCGGGAACCGAGGGTCATCGGGCACGTAAATAAATTTTTAAAAAATCAAATTAAAAAAAGCAATTCTAGCAGGCCTTCACTTTCCGGAAGAGTAACTCGGGCATCACGCAACTAAGGCGAGCCACAAAACCAAGCAGTCACCCTGTCGGCGCTGCGACGGCAACCGCACCAGGGCCTCCTCGGCGGGACGACCGTAACGGAGACCGGCGCTCCCACGCCGCTTTCCCAGCAGCCTCCTCTCCCATCATGCACTGCGCTCTGCCCATTCGGCCTTCCTATTGGCCAAGTGACTGAGGACGGCGCCTGCGCGTTAGCGCGCTTTGAGGGCCGTGGGCAGACGCCATCTTGGCCCCAGAGGTGCTTCTGGGAAGTCGAGCGCCGATCTGCACGCCTGCCCGCCGCCGGCCGGGGACTGCCTCTCCCGCAGCGGCTTTGAGGACGAGGGACTCGCAGGTGCCGTCGCTGCTGGACCTCTTTGTCCGCAGCCTCCAGCCCCCTCCCACACCCACCCCACCCCCGACCCCGAGCCGAGCGGGAACCTCTGAGTGCCGGGCCGCGCCGCGCCGCGCCGGCCGTCCGGAGTCCCATCTCCGGGAAGGAGGTGTTGGGGGCGGCGCGGGCTGCGGACACTCCCCGCACTGATCCCGCCTGCCATGGACTCGGAATACTACTGCGGCGACCAGTCAGGTGGGGCCGGCTCCGAGGGCCCGGGCTGCGGGGCGGGGCGCGGGTTGCGGCCGGGCTGGCCTGGCACCCCGGCGGGGGAGGAGAGGAGAGGGGAGGGAGCCCCCCACCTCCACCTGCACCTGCACCGCCACCTCCGGGACTGGGCCGCTGGGGCTTGGGGGCACTAAGCTTAGACCCTCAAGTGACTGTAAAAACCAGATTCAGCCCCCCCCCCCCGAAGATAGAACCTTGGAGTGGGGGCTCGTGGCGGGGGGCGGAATTCTGGCAAGAAAGACGTCTTCTGCCGTCCGCAGAGGTTTCTGCTCAAACCGGGAAGCAGCTTGGACATGCAGCAACTTGGACGTGCGTGGGGTGTGTGTGTGTGTGTGTGTGTGTGTGTGTGTAATGCTCTAGGGAGGGTCTCTCCCTGTGAATGCGGGATTTTTTTTTCTTTCCTTTTTTGCCCCTTTTCAGGAGTTGAATTAAAGGTTTCCTTTGAAAATCTTTTGAGATCGGTTATGGGAGGAAGGGGGCGCCGTGCTGCAGGACCTTTACCTAGACGTTGACGTTCCTTGCTAGGGGTGATTTGAGCCTTGACTGGGGTGTGACCCGGCCCCACCCCACGCCACCCCTGTTTGAGTTGTGGACGCTATTGAACGTACCCTTCTGGCACTTCGGGGGTTATTTTGTGCCTTTTCCTTTCTTGGAGACTTACCTTCTTTCTCCTCCTTGAAACGTGGTCTTCTTTTCCAGTTCAGAAAGTTCTTTCTGGGACACCCCTCCTCTCCCGCTTCCTCCCTCCCTCCCCAACTCCGTACCGGAGTTTGGACAGAAGGAGACCCTGGACCTACATTTCGTTGACTTTGATTTCCCTTGTGTTCTCGTTCCACGGGGTATTCTCCAGCCAGGCGCTTAGAGAGCTGTCCAAGAGTCACCTTCCCTTCTGAGCTCACTCCCATTTCTTTACGCTATGACAGCTCCGAGGAGACTTGCAAATGCTCTTCTAAGTATGCACTTAAGCTGCCCAAGCTAGTGTGCCTGAAGTGTTTCCTGTCGTGTTGCCAGATACTCTCTAACACCAGTTACAGACGATGGCGTGGCTGCATAGGCTAAGGGCTGCAAGACAAGGGAAAAATAGCCGTTCTCCAATTTTTTAAATCCTTTTGTATTTTCTTCCGTTTTACCTCATTTATGCTATCGTGTCATTTTTTCAGGCATTCTGCAATGATTGATTTTTCTGTGGCGCTCAAGGTAGCAGTTCAGCTTCCTCGGAGCTGTGCTCCTTAGTATAGTAGCTTAAATGTTACACTTCAGAAAAAATCACTCTTAATTTGCGGCTAAATATTATTCACTCCTAAGCTCAGTAGTTCATTAGTGTGATAGTGATTTCATTCACATACATCCTTTTGGTTTCCCTGTAGTTGACTGTTGTTTCATTGTTTTGTTTTGGAGGTTGTTTTTGTTTTATTAACTTGAATATCTGGCCAGTTAGTTCTTCCTCTATCCTTGCATACACCCTTTATATTTTTCAAGGATTGGTTAAAGGTAGGAAGCAACTCATCTTTTTGCAATTTTGCAATGGTATGTGCTTTAACCATACTCCTAGACTGGAATTTCTCGTGCTCGTTATTCATGAACATTACTGCCCGTACATCATGTAGTAGGCGATACTCTAGGCTGACTTCAGCAGTGAGCCAAAATCTCTGTTTATTAGGCATTTTCTTTTAGATGAAGGAAGACCGATGCAAAACTTGTAAATTGTGGTAAACTAGTGGGTGGTGAGTGCTGTGGAGAGATTAGGCTCAGTTTTTAACAGAGTTGAGATAGTTAAAGAGCACTTTTTTATTTATAGATTGTTGACTGGGTCCTTAAGTATCTTACTCTGCACATTCCTTTGATGATGTATTTTTGCTATGACATGTCACAATACATGTTGTAAATGTTGGTATTTATTTTAGAAATATACTGTGTTCTTAATTCACAACATTAACATCATTATACTTCACGAGTGGTAACATTTGCTCTTACATTATTCTTGATTGATTATGTTCATTTCAGCTGTAGATATCCTCCATCCTACACCTTAAGTGGGTCTTTGTTTTATTTTTGAGCAGATGATGGTGGCGCTACCCCAGTACAGGATGAACGGGATTCAGGGTCAGACGTTGAGGATGATGTAAATGAGCAGCACTCTGGATCAGACACTGGAAGTGTAGAACGTCATTCAGAGGTATTCGCTAAACAACATTTGGGGGAGGCTTTTCCCTTGCATTCTATGAGACTTGTTTTAATTAGGAGTTACAGAGACGCTGTCGTGAGGTTTTCGACTTCAAACATCAAATTAAATGTTTATAAGTAGTAGAGCAATTCTTTAAAAATAAATAGGGATAGTCTGGTTGCTTATAAAACCACAAGAATAGGAGTTCTGATTGGATCCATCAGTTCAGATATTCACCTTCACCTGCATACTGATTCGGAAAAATAAGTCAAACTTCTATATTTAACTTAACTTTCCCATTCTTAAAGAGATAATCGTACTGAGCAGCAGGCCTTTGCCAGCTGAACACCAATACAAAGGGGGTTTTGTTTGGGGGCTTACACTTGGCTCTGCTCAGGGATTAATCACGCTTGGAGATGCTTAAGGGATCATATGCAGTGCCTGGGATCAAACCTTGGTCAGTTGCATGCAAAGGGGAGCACCTGTGCTATTTCTCCAGCCCCCCCCCCATGTCATTTTATATTTATACTGAATATGAAGGGGGGTATTACCAAATCCTAGCAAGATTTGGCTTTCTCAATTACAACTGTTCCATGTTTGTATTATTGTATATTAACAAACCAAATGTAATTTTTGAAGTTTTCCTTAATGATATAGACTAGTATGGAGTCATATTCATCATTTGAATATGTTTCACCTAGTTACAAATAATTTGATTTGCTCCCCTCATTATTTATTATTCATTTATTTATTATGTATTGGTAGTGTTAACAAAATAAAATGGAACATTTAAAAGTTTTTTTTAAAGTACCGTGATTGACAGTTATTTGTGTTTGGACTTTAGACATGACAATGTTCTAGCAATGATCCCGCCACCGATTCCAAGTTCCCTACACCGCTATTCCCAGTTTCTCTCCCCCACCCCATTATCCCCAGCCTGCCATCTTGACAGGTATCATTTCAAGTTCAGTGACTAAGTTTAGGTCTCAGGATTTCAGTGTTGTTACTCTATGTTTTGGATATTTAGCTCTGTCTTTCCTTAACACCTCCTTTGACCCCGGTCCCTTGTTGCTTCTCATTTGTCTCTTCCCATCCACACTTGGACTTTTTCTCTTTTTAGCAAGTCAGCTCTGAGTTTTTGGTAAGCACAAACTGATACACATACAAAATAAATGATTAAATAGGCAGATTTTCTTTTAAGAACTTTATATGCCATTATTTTGCTTGATTATTTATGCACAGAAAATTGTCCAGTTTAAAGTGGATCAGCTATAGCTTCTTACTATGTTTTGACATATTAATATATTCATATATAGTATACAACAAATACTTATTGAACACCTGTTTTGTCCAACTTAAGTTAGCGATAACAAGGAAATCACCACCGAAATTATTTTTTATTTGGAATTACTTTCTAGTGGGAAAAACATTAGTATCATAGCCCGGCAAGCTACCGAGAGTATTCGATATGCCAGACACAGTAACAACAAAGTCTCCAATGGAGACGTTACTGGGCCCGCTCGAGCAAATCGACGATCAACGGGAGGGCCTTTACCTTTACCTTTACCTTAGTATGTTAGTAAATGATAAATGTTATAGAGAAAGAAGTTATTAAATAAGTACATGTAGACTTTATTGAGTGGGTAACATTTGAATTGGTGTGAAGGGAAGTGAGGGAATAGCCATGTAGCTATATAGAAGAATATCTCCAGGCAAAGATCATAAGGTGGGGGTGTGCTTGATGTTTTCCAAGAACACCAGGTATGGCTAAAGTGGAGTTTTGGGGTGGGCAAGATCAGAGGCTTCACTGGAAATGAGACTTATCTTTTCATTATTTTAGGTCACAGTTTTTGTGTACTCTTAAACATTTGGACCAAATTCACATTAATATATTTGATAGGTAGAAATTATCTAATAACATAACAGTGTTGTCATTATAATTACTTATATAATATCTGAAGTCTGCACTTTGGAAAACAGCCTCAACTAATTGACTCATGACCTCATAATTCAGTTTAAAGTATAATATAGATTTTCCTTTAAGCATCTTCAATTGCTTTTTTGTTAACATGGATTCTGAGTATGCATGTTACTGAAAATTTGGAAAATATTTATTTAAAGAAAAATGGCATACCTTTTCACTTAAATTTGTATCTTCGGTATCTTAGCACGTCATTAGTCTCCCTTAGCATAACTCTGGGGAGATGGGAGCCCCTAGCAGTGACCACAAGATGTTCCTTGCTCAGTGCTCAGGAGCGACCCCTGGCAGTACTCAGGATCCTATGTGGTGCCAAGAATTAGTAATGGGGTCAGTTGGATGCAAGGCAACTAACTGCCTTAACCTCTATACTATCTCTTCAGCTCATTGCTAAGCATAATTTTTTTAAATGACTACATAATATTCTATAACTTGGATACATGGACAACCTAATTGCCTGTTTGACCTTTTTTTCAGCTTTTATTGATGAAGTTGCTGAAAATCACCGTACAAAATATTTGTCCTTATTTCCTTAGAAATTTACCAGGATAATTTACCAGAATGAAAAAGTCAGCATATTTTAAGACTTACTCCTCTACAGGAAGATTGTCTTAATTTACTAAACTACTTGTAGTTTGAGAATGCTATTTGTAACCTTATTAAGTATTGAGCTCTGTAATAATGCTCTTTGCCTGTTTAAAATGACTTTTGAGTGGGAATTTACAATTATTTTTTCTTTGAAAATATTTTCTAGATCCCGGTGCATTGTGAAATGAATACAGCTAAATCAGAGAAGTGCAGATTACAGATCCCAAACCAAAAAGATGATGTGTATTAGTTTCTGACTGCTGCCATAGCCACTTCACAAAGTTAGTGATTTAGGATTGAAGGTTTATTATTATACAATTCCAGTGGTCAGAAGTTCTTATCCTGTTTTCATAAAAAGAAACATTTAAAATATTTTTTGCAGAATGGATTTTTTTTTCTTTTGGCCTTAACGTTGATCTGTAATAGTGATGGGAAATGTATGCTGGTAAAGGGATGGGTATTGGAACAGTATATGACCAAAAACCAATCATGAACAACTTTAACTGTGTATCTCACAGTGGTTTAATTAAAAAATATTTTTTTCTTTAATTTAAAAAATCACATGTGAGGGCCAGAGATTTAGTATTTGGGTTAGGTTGCATGCCTGACGTGTTGCTAATAGTCCTGCTGCAGCTCGGGAGGCCCCCAAGCTCATGAAATGTGACCCTAGAGTCTGGAACACAACCAGGGTGTGATTGCCTACCCCTGCTGCCCAAAGGATCATTTTGACAAGGTTATTACTTCCAATCTCCAAACATGAAATAACATTGACATTCCCGCTTTCATCTACATCTTTAGAGACTAACACTTTTTGTTGTATAGTCTAATACATCTTAATGTTGATTCCTAGATACTTAATGTTTTTAACACAATTTTAAATGAACTGGTCTTTTTATTTCTTACTTTTGCAGTCCATTCTTTGCTTATAAAAATGCAGCAGATTTTTGTTGTGGCCTGCCACTTTACTGTATTTAATATTTCTGAGGTTTTTAGTTTAGGGTATGCGTATGTTTGTGTTTCTGTACATACAGAGAGACACATAATATGTCATCTGTAAATGCTAAGTATTAGCTTCTTTTCCAGTATAACCTTTGATTTCTTTCTGTTGCTTTATTATTATATCAAGGACTTTAAAAACTGTGCTAATAGTGGGATAAGCAGGCATCCTTTCCTTGTGCCTGAACTCAGAGAAGGCTTTCGTAATTGATTCTGAGTTGAGTATGATTCTGGCTGTGGGTTTTTTGTATATGGTCATTTCTATCTTGAGGTATGTTCCTTGTATTTCTATTTTGTTGAGGGGGTTTTGTGTGTGGTTCGAGGGCTGTTGTTGTTTTGCTTTCCATACCCAGTGGTGCTCAGGGCTTACTCTTGGCTCTATGCTCAGAGATCACTCTTGTTGGGCTCAATGGACCATTTGGGGTGCCAGGCATCAAACCTGGGTCAGCCCTGTGCAGTGCAAGCACCCTACCTGCTGTACTGTTGTTCCAGGTCTTTTAAAGGTTTTTACTTATCATAAATGTATGCCTAATCTTATTAAAGACTTTCTTCATTGATAAACTCATATGAGCTTTATCTTTTAATTGTATTATATTATTTGGTTTGCATATATTGAACTATTCCTGTATGCCTGGAAATGCATCCCACTTTATTGTGATATGTAATCTTTTTAATATATTCTTGAATTTAGTTTGCTAAGATTTTGTTGTCAATCTTACTGAGTTCTACAGTAAACAGATTTTGTTTTGTTTTGATCTGGGAGGAGTCATATTCTGTCTCTGCCCTCAAGGATTGCTCCTGAGGAGGCTCAGGAGACACAGTACATGGTGTTGGGATCAAACCCAGGTCACCTTCATACAAGGTATGCTCCCTACTCACTCTACACTCCCTTCAACTCCCTCTAAACAAATTTTAATTATACAGTGCCGTGTTTGTTAGTGAATGTGATGCTACATATTGATCCTCAGCTTAATCATTTTATAACTAGAAATGTGTACCTTTTTGTCGGCCTCTCCGTCCTTAGTTCCCCCAGCCCCTGAAAACTGTTTCTCTGCACGTTTTTTTCTGGTTCCACATTTTAGTGATACCATGCAGTATATGTCTTTCTCTGCCTTTTTTAATTTAGACAGTGCCCTCGAGTTCATTCATATTGTCACAGATGGCAACAATTTCTATAATGTTCTACGCGTGTGCGCACACACATACACACACTCTCAATCTCTTCTTAATTTGTTAATCTATTGATGAACATTTAAGTTGTTGACATATCTTGGCTGTAGAGAATAATAATGTGCTAAACACGGGCATATATAAGATACCCTTTCAGTGTTCTGTTTTCATTTCTTTTGGCTATATATCCAGAAGTGGGATTGTTAGATCATGAACTTCCGTACTCTCTTCAATAGTGTCTGCTTTGGTCCTTTCCCACTAGCAGTGCATTAGGGTTTCC